GGTACCAATAGAAGAGAGTATATGTAGCTCAGGATTGAACTGTAGAGTCCTTGGGGTTTTCTGAGCTTGGTTGTTTTCTTGCAAACATTTCATTACCCAGTCAGGTAACATGCTTCAGTACCTAGCTGGGTAATGAAACGTTTGCAAGAAAACAACCAAGCTCAGAAAACCCCAAGGACTCCACAGTTCAACCCTGAGCTACATATATTCTCTTCTATCAGTAACATTGTTTGTCTCAAGGGCAAGTACATTTGGGATACTCACCAGCAATTGAAGGGACCATCACCCAAACTGGGTGCCACTGCACATACACACTTTTTTTTTTTTAGCCTCATCTCTAACTTAAGGCCATGCATACATCATACACCTTCACTAGATATACTACCCAGGGGATGGGGGAAATGATAAATGGTCCTCAAGATGTACCAAACTAGAACTCTCAAGAGGGGTATCCCTTGGGTGGAGCAGGGAAATTAAAAAAAAAAAAAATTAGGATGACAGCCATGGCCTACAGGTGAAGCCCTGCCTTTTTATGTCTGTCATGATGCATATTGAAAGGGGTCGTGCTTTGGTTGTGCAGCCACAGCTGCATCTCGACATTTTTTTACCCCCTTGTGGATGTCCCACCTGTCAGCATCCCTAAGAAACATGGCCAATGACCAGGGATATTGGGAGTTCTAGTTTAGTAACATCTGAAACATCTGGTTGCATATTCCTGCCCTATACACTTACTTACAAATATAGTTCTCAACTTTTTGAAAATGTCCTTTGCATATCAATTAAGCTTTCTTTTGTTTTTTAAGTCTCTGGTAGTAAAAATTAAGTTTTGTTAAATGAAATATCAAATGGAGTGGAAATGGTTCTATTGAGAGAGGGTCAGTAGCCATCAGAGGGGGAAGGTTTAGTCTGTTCCTCCCCGGCAGCAACCTTCCCCACCTTGAAAATGTCTTCTTTCTCATGTCCTTTTGCATATGCTTTTGGAAGCACCAAAAGAAGTAGAAGTGAATTTGGTCTTTTCATATAATGTATCTCTATTCACATGGAGTCTTTGCAGAGTCCATGATACAATGAGTGACCTAGCTTCCCTTCTTAATATGAATAAAGAGCACGCTGTTCCTTCTCCGGCTTTCTTCCCCACCATAATCTAAACACTTAGGCACAATCAGCCTTTGCTTCAAACTCAGCTGATTACTAATTACATGCACAAGCTTGCAACTCCAAATTTCCTTTCCCAACACATTCCTTTTTAGGCTTTGATACATTCTCAACACTCTCATCAAATACTTTGAAGGGCTTCTTACCAGGCATATGCTGTAAAGTCCTGTCACTATTAGTAAAGCCACCTGCACAAGGTTCAAACTGTGAGAAAGCAGCAGGCATCTTTTCCAAAGTCACAATATTTTCTACAGCAGAAAGTAACCTAAACAAATGAAAATATATACACCTATTTAGGAGCATTCTCAGAAGATCGGGTTCACAAGACCTGCAATTTCCTAGACCAGGCCTGTACAAGCGGTGAGTCATCAGTCCAAACACAGCTTAATTAGCCATTTATAGCAGCTCACTAGTAAATAGCACTCCATTTATTACACAGTGCTCCATTTATTACACTGGCACTCTAAGAACAGCACACGGCAGAGTAGGAAAGAAGACATTCATCAGACCCACAACAAAGGAGAGATGAGATCAAAAAAAGGCCCTGAGATTTAATGTGTGTCACATGCAACATCAAACTAGGATTATACTAATCACAGTTTAAATTTTAAAAAGAGACTTCTGTTCCCTATGGTTTATTTCCTTTTTCCTCTAGAACAGGGTTTTTCAACCATAGCAACTTTCAGATATGTGGATTTCAACTCCCAAAATTCCCCAGCCAAAATACTGCATCTGATATGTCTGACAGGATTTTTAAACCATATTTTTAATCAACAAATAATGGCTTAGTTCACACACCACACCAAGCCAAAAAACAAACAAATCATATTATGGCTTAGGAGAATATGTGAACCAGATTCCTTATTTGCTCAAATATTCATTTTGCCCAAAATAACATTCAAAATCTTGGTTTAGAGGTTCCTAACAAACCATAACTTGTCAGAAGTTGCTGGTTTGTCTAACAAACAATGATTTGGCTTTACATGGTATATTTCAACCATGTGTAGCTGAAACAATTTTAAGTACGCTTTTGAAGAGAATGAGTCAGATTAAATTTAGAGTACCTTAAAGTACTTCTCTCCTTCATTCCCATCAATGTTTCCGTGTTCCTATAATACACTAGGCTAAAATGTGGATGGTTGGTTTCAATCCAACCAACTTGGTTAATTCAGTAGCTACATTTAAGTAAACCATAGTTAACTTGTTATGCAAATACAGCTATATTATATTATCTGGGGAATTCTGGGAGCTGAGGTCCGAGCACATCTGGAGAATGCCTTAGACATTTTCAGGCAGCAAAAGAGGACATGTAACATTCAACTCCCCACTGCTGTACCTTTTACCTACATCTTTTGTCTCTTTCCACAGCATTTATGGCCTTAGTTACTCCACTCACCTATCCCATCTCCAGGCAGAAAAGGCACAGGTGAGTGGCAGAAATGAAGAACAACTTATATATTCCCCAAACCCTCTTTGAAATGGAAGGGCTAGGGACCAGACCTAACTGCCCAGTTCTGAAGCACAAGGACGTTAAGATCAAAACACACATAATGAAAAGTACAGAGACTGAAAGGATGAAAACTGTCCTTTGAAATATTTTTAAAAATAACAGAAAATAGCTGGAGCAAGCAGGAAGCTTGATTGATGCCACAGTTACCATATACTGTAAAGCAGTTGACAGCATGGAGCTAACATTAAAAAAAGAGGTAGAAACAAAAGCAAACAGAAAATTGGAAGCTATTGGCTCTTTGTTTATAGAGAGAAAAAAAGAAAATATTTTTAACTCTGACAAGTATCAGAGGGTCTGTTTATGCAAAATAGTGGTGTGTCATCATTTAGAAGCAAAGAATTACTCTTGAAATAGGTCAACCATAAACACTAAAGAATTTGCACTTTATGTAGATAAATAAAGGCTGAAGAGGGAAGTTGCAATGAAGTTCTTTCACACACACACACACACACACACACACACACAGGCCAAAGATACCTCTCTGCCACCATGCCTTTACTCAGGATACAGCAAGGCTGGGATAGTTACTATTCTATGGATTGCCAGGCCAGGTGGCACTGTACATGGCCTGGAATGCAAGTGCCAACTTGGCCTTTGTTTCAGACAATAGGGGATAAGGCAAAGCCAGTGCTGCACATAAGGTCCTCTTAAGTTCTACTGGTTCCTATTTATTTAAAACATTTATATAGCTGCTCATCTTATAACAAACTCTGGGTGGCTCCCAGCCAACAGTTAACACAACTTCAATATACATATAGAAGGACTTCAGCGCAACTGATTTGCGTACTTTCATCAATGTGGAGTGTATCACTGAAGGCAGATTATAGCTTATTGCAGGTGTCCCCAAACCATTTTAGGCTGATAAGCACATCTGGAATTTTGAGAGCATACTATGTGTATTTCCACACAGTGGCTGCCATGATGAGTGTAATCAATTACAAGCATCCATTCCCTGAAAGGCCAACCAGAAAAGCTGCTCCCCATTATGAACTCTGGTCTCCCAAAATGCTCTCTGACACCTCATTTTTTTTGTGTGTGTGTGCTTCTTTTTCTGGGCAAGTGGGCACATTTCCAAAGAAAGCAGTAAAACACAACCTATAGGCATCACTAGGAGGGGAGGGGGGACAAGTGATGATGAAATGTGCATCATGATGCAAACTCTACCCCATACATACTTGCATGCAATGTCACACTATAGGTACAAAAGGGTGCGGCTTGCATGGGGACACAATTAGGCATATTTTGCCATTGTGGCTAGCTGCGGACACCTATATCATAGCTCTCCAAGAATCTCTCTGGTAAGTTTTGCAGGGCTCAGATACAGCAACTGGGAGTAAAGATGATGCTTGAAGCTGGTGATTTCCATCATTCTAATTTCCCATTATTTAAAATTAATCTCAAAAAATTAAAATCAGGCACAATACAGTAAGAAGTCTTCCTTACATCAGGGAAGGTGACTCTGAACACATCAGTGCTCCTGAGTTCATGTTGAGGAGACTCAGGTTTAGTGGACAACTTGAGCACTCTTTAGTTGTTCTTTACGCCCA